AATCCAACTCCTTCCGCGTCTTCTAGCCAGTCCATCCCTCTCTTAAGAAACGACCCTCTCCCCAGATAACTCCATCCAATTCGCGTCCCTCAGTCGAGATCCTAGCCCTTACAGACACAGACCCCTTCACACCTACCCTTCCCCTGTAAAAAAACCCGCTAGAACACCTCTACATACTCCCAGTCATTCCCGGTTAAATGCCACCCCCTGCTTCCAAGCGACAGAGAAGCCCCTCACAAGAAGGAAAAAAAAAAAAAGAAGACTCAATTGCCTTTTTATAATACAGGAGAAAATGTCTGTCGTATTTCTCCTGCCCAGGCCGAGAAAGCCAGGGACTACGGAAACCGCATTAAAGACTTGAAGTATTTGCTATCAATAAGGCAATTTGCGGACCAGGACATTGAAAGAGTTCTCACGGTGATCAGAACGGGAACCGGAGCTAAACAGATTTGGGCTATGCTTGAGGAGGCCATCAATTCTTGTAAAATGACATTGCCAATCGCCATCACCCAAAATGAACAGCTTAAAAATTTAAAACAATTCTGTGCAGGGAGGGTCCCCGTTTTAGTTCACCCCTCCCTATATAGAGCACTTAAACTGACCTTCCCCTGGGATATCGGCGGTATCTCCCAAGACGGCACCATCAAGACTGAGATGGGCCACGGGTCTATGGGAGAGGCGGTCGGTATCCTTACCCTGTCCATGTTCAAACCAGTAGTTCAACCCTAATCAGGCTTCACTATGGCTCTCTGGTTGGCATGTGTAAATGTCCGGGGCCTGAGGTCCGAGTCTCGCAGGGCGAGGTTCTCTCGTGACCTTCAGCGCCTCTGGGTGGATGTGTGTTGTGTGCAAGAGACCCGGTTTTCTTCTCATGACTGTGAGAGCATTCTGTCTAGGGGGGTTCGCCCTTTATTCAGCATGTTATGATGGTCGTTCGAGGGGTGTCTCTTGGCTAGTGAGCAGGTCTTTGAAGGCTGCATGTACCCTTGTCTTCGCGGATCCGGCGGGCAGGCTTTGCGTGCTGGATGTTACCATAAAGGATAAGGCTTTACGTCTCATTGGGGTTTATGCGCCCAATATCCATGCCGAGCGGCCTGCTTTGTTTCGGCAGATCGCGCCGTACTTGACGACGTCTCGTCGGGTAGTTTTAGCGGGGGATTGGAATGCCGTCCTTGACCCCGATATAGATCGTATAGGGCAAAGTCAAGGTACTAACAACTCGGACGTGAAACCATTTCGCGGCTTTATCGATGAGTTTGGTCTCGTCGATAAGTACCGGAATGAACACCCTCGGGAGGTAGCATGGACTTGGACTAATAATGGCAACTCGGCTCCTGGCTCGATTGCGAGCTACCTGGACCGAGTCTTAGTTAGGGAGAGTCGATGTAGGGCTCTTAGGGTGTCCAAGCTTCCACTATATAGTTTATACGGATCATAGGCTTGTCCGGGTCCGTGTAAACTTAGATAAGCCTAGGGCTAGACTAGCTGGTTACTGGAAATTTAACTGTTCACTATTTGGTGAGCAGGGTTTCCGGGACCAGCTGCTACTAATCATTCAGAGGGAATTGACGGGGGCGGTTGTGGGAAATGCCTGGTGGGGCAAATTAAAATCTAAAATTAGAACGTTTGCTGCCGATTTTAGTCGTCGACTCAATCTAGATAGATTAGCGGCGCAAACGGCTTTAGAAGAAAAAGTTGATCGGGCCGTGAAATCCTGTGTTAGTGGGGACATAGTCTTAGCTAAGGCAGAGTTGGCCTCCTTGCTTATCAAGAAGGATCAAGCTCTGCTAGTTAGGGCTAGGCTAAAAAGAATGTCTTCTGAGGCGACGAACATGGCCGCTGAACTGCGTGCAGAGGAGAATAGGAACGCGTCTAAGCGACATATAGCGGGCGTCACATTGCCGGATAAGCGGACCGTGACTACAAACGCGGGCATATGCGAGGCATTTCGTGATTACTTTCAGGATCTTTTCACCAGGGAGCCCGGTCTGAGCTCTGCTCAGTTCGACGCCTATTTGGCTGACTTTCCCTGCCTTGAGGCAGCTGAAGCGGCTAGGGTGCGAGGGTCCCATAACAGAGTTGGAAATCTGGGATGCGCTGAAGCAGGTTGGCCTGGATAAGTCTCCGGGACTAGATGGTCTTCCCTACGAAGTGTACTTGAGGCTGTCGCCCGTTTTTGTTCCTTTGCTGCAGCTGATTTTCAACCACTGGATGAAGCAGGGGTCTTTACCTCAACGCTTCACCAGGGGTGTGATCAAGTTGCTGCGTAAGGACAAGGACGGTGGGGATGGGTTAGGAAACTTTCGCCCTTTAACGATGTTAAATACGGACTTAAAGATTTTGGCGAAGATCTTAGCCAACCGTCTGCAGCTTGTCCTGTCTCGTCTGATTGGCCCCGAACAGTCTTGTGCTGTGAAGGGCAGGACTATTCAGGATAACCTTCACATGGTACGCTTGATCTTAGAACAAGTCGACAGTGAAGCCGCGCTGATCAATTTGGCCAAGGCCTTCGATAGGGTTGACCATCGATTTCTGGAGGCTGTCCTTTCGGCGGCCGGTTTCGGAGCCGACTTTCGCTCCTGGATCCGACTCTTGTATGCGACCCCGGTGCGCTGGTGGAAGTGAATGGGTAAGATCGAAGCCTTTCGTATTGTCTCGCTCCATTCGTCAAGGTTGTCCGCTCTCGCCTATGCTTTACGTTCTTGCGTTGGAACCTTTCCTTCGCAAGTTAAAGGCGAATCCGGTCCTACGCGGAATTTCGCTGCCTGGTGCTTCCACCTCGGCCAGGTATTCAGCCTATGCTGACGACGTTTCGGTTCTTGTGTCGAGCAGAGCCGAGATTAACGAAGTCAGCAAGGAGGTCAGTGGGTATGAGATGGTGACAGGGGCCAAGATCAACCGCGATAAGTCTGTGGGCTTGCGGTTGGGTGCGTGGAAGGAGTTTCTCTTCCCGGACCTTTCCTCTGGACGGATGGGCCGATCAAGATACTCGGCGTCTGGTTCGGTCCTGATCTCCAGTTGAAATGAACTGGTCGGAGGTACAAGGGAAGGCCGAGGTCGCGGTTAATCTGTGGTCTCGGAGGAGACTTTCCCTGAAGGGAAGGGCGGAAGTATGTGTTTCACACATCTATCCGATCCTCCTCTACCGACTCTCTGTGCTTCCACTCCCGTATGCCCGACTAATGTCATTAGTCCGGACCTTGTTCTCTTTCTTATGGAGAGGCACGGCCCCTATGGTATCTCGCGAGGTCTGTTGCCTCCATCCCTCTGAGGGCGGTCTGGGTATGCCTAGCATTGAGATTCGTCAATATATGCTTCGCATTACCTTTCTAGACCGAATGTGTCGTGGGTCGAATGAGGAGGGTGCCTTTTGGAAAGAAGACGTCCAGAAACATTTCCCGTCCCTGAGAAGTGTGCACTCGTGCGAAGAAGAGGCCGGCCGTACACCACGAGCCGAGTGCTCTTTTATCGTGAATGTCGTCGCGCTCTGAAGCTCCTCTTACGGGCTTCGGATGGCCTCTCAACGCCAGGCGTTGTCTCGCAAGGCATTATATCAAGTTTTAGTTAGGGGGTCCGTACAAGATGATCTGATTGGCGAGCTCGGTCTTACGAAGCAGGAGGCTCGCTCGATATGGCCTTGGGCGCCTGGGTTGAAATGCCTCAATAATGATGAGGCATCACTCACCTGGCTGGTGATTCGTGAAGCTCTCTGGGTCGGCAAGAGACTCTGTGCAGCAATTGAAATATCAAACTGTCGTCGTTGTACTGGGGAAGTCGAGACGTTATGCCTTTTTGTTCGGTAGTGCCGTTGGGCAAGTTTGTTGAAGGCCTCATGGTTCGCATGTTGCAGGGAAAGTTTTTTGTCCTTGAAGCTAGCTCTGTTTGTAGCAATGTGGTGGACGAAGGCTGGACTATGTGTTCGTGATTTACTAGAATGAGAGTCGTGATTTGGACGACGCGTCAGAAGGATTCCATGAGGGCGAGAAGTTCACCTCTTCCCAACTGATCTTGTACTTTAAGCTTCAGCTTAAAGTCAAGATTAGGACAGGAAAGGCGGCGGCTCACCTCATCGGAATTCAGCAAAAGGTGGGTGAATCTTGCGCGTTTGTGCCGTGTAAAAGGGGCTGACTTGGGTGGCATTTTGATGTCGGTTAGGCATCAGGATATTGTTTTCCTGGGTTGAACATGGGCAACCCATCCCGAAATTAGGTTAGAGTAGGGTTTTTGTATTTTTTCTTTTAGTTTTTTTCTTTCCTGTTCTGATAAACTTAGCTAGGGTGTGTTTGCTCATTGGTCCCCTTTTATTTCTGTCCCCACTTTTTTTTTTAGTTTAACTCCCCGTCCCCTCCCTCGTTTAGGTGGTCAGTGATGTCAGTTCTCTGGTGGATGCGGGGGCGCCTTTCGTTTCGTGCGTGTGCTTTCGTATTTGTTGTTGTGTATGGATGAGTGAGTGCTTGTGTGAGTGCTTGACGGTTTGAGTGTGTCCTTATTTTTTATAGTCTCGCATCGATTTCGTCCGGTTAACTGATATTTCTGCCACATTCAAAGTTTGTGGGGGTTTTAATACTAACACTAATTTTGTTTAGTTTCTTGTAAATATATTTCGACATTTTGTATATACTCATTGGGGATTTTTTAAAGTTGTTGTTTTTTATGCCCCCCCCCCACAGACAATATTTGTACATAAAGGGGTGTATTTAGGTTTTCATTGAGTCAAGAGGCATTTTGGTGGATGTAGTAAGAAAAGGTATGGATAAATGTGTTGTTTTGGTGATAGGAATATTGTTTAGTATGATAGGGTCAGTGATTGTGGCTAGCTAAGTTTTAATTTAAGACATGTGATGACCGTCCTTTTCCCCAGCCCCCTTTTCGGCCTTGTGCCACATTTGTACATAGTACAATAAATAATGCTGCTGTGAATTAAGTTCAGTAAAGCCTTAGTGAAAGGTTACTAGCTTTCTTCTCTGAGCAACGTAACAATTTACTGAACTTACTTCCTCATGGACAAGATTATTCGTCTGGACAAGTTTGATATATCTTCTGCAGACCCTCAGGCTAGCAAGCTCTGGAGACTATGGTACCGTAATTTTAATTATTACTTATCAACTATTGCTTCGTTAAACCCGGACAAACTCGAAGTCCTTTATTTAAATATCGGTGCTACCGTTGCTGATGTTATCGAGGGTTGTTCTGGATTTGAACATGCTGTTGAATTGCTGAGAAGTGTTTATGACAAGTCTCCAAGTATTATTCACGCTAGACATTTGTTGTCTACGTCTGCAGCAGGAAAAAAAGAGTCTGTAGACCAATACCTTCAGGCCTTGAATCGACTTGCTGCTGACTGTTGCTTCCAAGATGTTACTGCTACTACTTACAGGGATGAATTTGTCCGTGATGCATTTATACGGTGGTCTCGGTCCCTCGTAATACGTGCCAGACTGCTTGAAAATGATACGCTAACTCTCAAGGAGGCTACTCAATGTGCTAGAGCCTTAGAACAGGCTCACTTTCGTGCTGAGTCATACACTCCTCAGATTGGATCAACTGCTGCTACTACCACTAGGACTAAAAATGTGGTTACTGATTCTGCCGAGGAGGCCACTTCCACTACTACTACTAAAAAAATGCTTTCAGACTTAACTGATTCTCGTACGGAGTGTGACTCTGTACAATTGTCTGCTGCCTTTGCTCGTGGCAAGTGCTACAACTGTGGAGGAAAACGTCATTTTAAGGATAATCGTCGCTATTGTCCTGCCCGTGATAAGATATGTCGAAACTGTGGCAAACTTGGTCATTTTTCTAAAGTTTGCCGTTCTACCATGCCGGCACCTTCACGTTCTACATCAGCTATTATAGTAGCCCGTGCTAAAGACGATGATAGGTCTCCTCCAGTTACTAAAACTTTAGAATTAAAAGGAAAGAGATTAACTGCCCTCATAGACACTGGTAGTTCTGATAACTTTATCAGTGCCCGTATTGTTAAAACAATGAAACTGTCTACTTCTAAACGGAATTCCGTAATTTCCATGGCATCATCTGCCATTTCCCTCAAACTATCTGAATATTGTACTGAGGACATTATCTTCAATGGTTACGAATATAAACAAATTGACTTTACAGTACTTCCTGATTCCTGTGTGGATATTATACTCGGAGTGCCCTTCTTAAAACTACACCAGAGTATCACTATTTCTTTTGGTGGATCTCAGGATATTCTAAAAATCTGCGCTCTAACCAAGATCAGTTGTGCTCCTGTTAAGTTGTTCCGAAACTTGACCCCTGATTGCAAACCTATTGCTACTAAATCCCGAAATTACCGTGCGGAGGATGGTCGGTTCATTGAAAAAGAAATTCTACAACTGCTTAAGGATGATATAATTGAAACAAGTTACTCTCCGTGGCGTGCTCAAATTGTCGTAACTTCGTCACCTAATAAAAAAAGAAACGATTGGTAGTCGATTTCTCCCAGACTATTAATCGGTTCACCTTACTTGATGCCTACCCCTTGCCTCGAATTGAAGATCTCGTAAACCAAATAGCCCAGTATCGTATCTATAGTATAATTGACTTGTCCAAAGCGTACTATCAGATTGAAATTTGCCCTGAAGATCGTCCCTATACGGCCTTTCAAGCTGGAAACCGTCTGTACCAATTTAAACGAATACCCATGGGTGTTACTAACGGGGTTTCTGCCTTTCAGCGATTTATGAATTCTTTCATTTCTGATAACAAATTATCTGGAACCTTTTCGTATATAGATGATATAACTGTTTGTGGTAAAACCCAGGAGGAGCACGATGTCAATTTGGAATGTTTCTTAAAGGCTGTCTCGACATACAACCTCGAAATAAATCGGGAAAATCAGAGTTTTCACTTCGTTCTATTAACGTGCTTGGATATCAAATTTGTAACGGAACTATCCAACCCGATCCTGAGCGTTTGAAGCCACTTTTACAAATGCCTCCTCCTCCCGACTCAAATTCGTTAAAAAAGGTGTCTTGGTATGTTTGCTTTCTATGCGAAATGGATACCTAAATATTCACACAAAATTCGTCCACTGGTCGAAAATAAACAATTCCCTATGCCTCCTATAGTTATAAATTCTTTTTCGAAAACTTAAGAAAGACATTGCTGAGTCATCTGTAAAAGTTATTGATGATGAATTGCCATTTACTATTGAAACCGATGCCTCAGAAAAAGGCTATTGAGGCACTCTTTTACAAGCTGAGCGACCTGTAGCATTCTTTTCTCGGTCGCTAAACCCTCTGAAATACGACTTTACATAGTCGAAAAGAAGCATATGCTATAGTCGAATGCGTTCGTAAATGGAGAGACCTCCTTGCCGGTAAACATTTTACTATTATTACTGATCAACAAGCCGTATCTTTTATGTTTAAACCTGCTAATCGCGGAAAAATTAAAACGATAAAATTATAAGGTGGAAATGGAACTTCTTCCCTTTTCATACGACATAAAACACCGTCCTGGAAATGAAAACACAGTTGCGGATACCTTATCCAGAGTATGTGGTGCTGCTGCTTCTTCCTTGAAGGAACTTAAATCGATACACGATTCCTTAATACATCCTGGGGTACAGCGCTTTTTTGGCATTTTGTAAGATCTCAGAATATGCCGTATTCGCTTGATGAAGTCCGACGTGTGACTTCTGAATGTACGACCTGTGCCAAAATAAAACCCCAATTCTTCGATTCTACTAGTAATGTTCTGATCCGTTCTACTGCGCCATTTCAGCGTCTCTCCATAGACTACAAAGGGCCTGTCCTGGTATCCCCGACAGGTTACCGATATATACTTACTGTCATCGACGAATATAGTCGATTTCCCTTTGCCTTTCCTTGCCGCGATTGCTCTTCGCAAACTGCTATTCAGTGCCTGACAAGTATTTTCTCCATTTTCGGGCTTCCCTCGTTCATTCACTCCGATCGAGGAACTTCGTTTGTGTCAGGAGAATTTAAACAATTTCTAACACGACTTGGAATTGGATTCAGTAATACTACTGCTTATAACCCTAGAGGCAATAGCCAATGCGAACGTTACAACGGCATAATTTGGAATATTATTGGAATCGAAACAGTTACCAATTAGTGCTTGGCAGGATGTTCTACATGATGTGTTAAATGCTATCCGCTCTCTACTATGTACCACTACGAATGCAACCCCCACGAACGAATGTTCAATTTTGAAAGGCGGTCCTCCACCGGTACTGTGTTGCCTGTTTGGCTCTGTGAGCCTGGGGGAGGTATTATTAAAACGATTCGATGGCAGAAGTAAATATGACCCTATCGTTGAGGTGGTGGTACTCCTTGAGGCCAATCCTACGCATGCCAAAATACGTCACAATGATGTCCGGGAAGATTCGGTGGCGCTGAGACGGTTGGCACGTTTTCCACGCCCGGATGAACCTCAAAATGGACCTGAAAATACTCAACCCGACGTGGACCACGCAGATTCAACCCTTTTGCCTGATGCAGGTCCCGTTAATATTTCTTCACCTTCCACGGAAAATGAATCTGTGAATAATAGCCAGAATCCTGAAAGTCAGCCTTCTCAGAGGTCTGGCTCTTCCAGTGGTGAACTACATCTACGCCGGTCTAGCAGGATTCGTAGACCAATCCAACGACTGGAATTATAAAACCTATTCAATTACGATCTCTTTTGCAAGTGGGGGAGAATGTTATATTTTCGTAAAGAAAATAAAAGAAAAGAAAATAGGAAACTATCTTTACTGTCCACGTGACTTTTTCACACGTCCCCATTCCTCTTTAAAAGCTGCGTTCTTCATCCTTTGTTGATTGCTGCTGTGAATTAAGTTCAGTAAAGCCTTAGTGAAAGGTTACTAGCTTTCTTCTCTGAGCAACGTAACACATACATATTCATTGGGTTAGCTGTAAAGTCTAGATAAGCTATGGAGGACGCTAAGTGACGCAATTCAATATCTAATACGCTCTTACTCTTGTATATAAATACTTGTTACAAAATAAAATACTAGTATTTGCCTTAATAGAGTCCCTTAGAGGACAATATGCGTCGGCGAAGATAAGTTTTCCTTTTGTCTTTATTATATATATATATATATATATATATATATATATATATATATATATATATATATATAAACTTTTGTTTCTTATACCCGGAGTTTATATTTTCCGATTACTTTTTTGAATTTTTAGGTCTGATGAATTGATCGATTACGATTCAATGTAATAAATTATAACCATGGAATATTAGAGTTTGAGCCATATATATATATATATATATATATATATATATATATATATATATATGTATATGTATATATATATATATATATATATATGTATATATATATATAATCGACTCTCCCGTCGAGTTCGACGTATGAGAGTCAGGCCGATAAGTTTTCAGGAAACCGACTTCCCGACATCGGCACATGAGATTTGATTATAGTGGTGAAGGCCTCGTGCAGGACCAGCCACACTTTTGGAGGGACGAATACAGAAACCTGGTGCACTGAATGCCACAAGGTTCCCAAACGACCCTCCGCAGGTTTGAATTCAGAGTTGTCCTTCTCCTAGACCAGTTGCCATCCAAGGCTATAGAACCCAGTCTGTCCTGCTATTTTACCCATAGCTGGAGGGAGATGAAGAGGATTCATACCTTTCCCAAGGGTATTAGCACGTAAGTGAATGTAATGGATTCGACTGGAATTCGAACTCGGCTCTTGGAGGCACGGTGGAGTAATGGATAGCGGCTTGGATTGAGCAGAATATATATATATATATATATATATATATATATATATATATATATATATATATATATATATATATATATATATATATGGATGGATGGAGATAGAATTTTTGAAATAATATTGTCCTTTTATCAATATAGTCTATATGAAATTTTACTAATGTGTGTGTGTACGTGTATTGTCCCCCCAAAATGTGCCCGCATTTTATCAACTAATAACTCTCTTATTTCTCTTTTTTTTTCAGATTTAACTCATTGGAAATAATGATAGCAGCCGTGCTGAAGTTTGAATAAAGCATTTTTTTCAAACTGCGACTGTATTGCCAAGACAGTTTAGCAGAGATTTTCAACCAGACCCCCACCGTCACGACTTACCATCACTCGAAGCAGAAAAATGTTTAAAGCAGATGGAACTGTTCGGAATGTCTACAGTAAACTTTCTGCAAGACAAGAGAAATCGAGGAGATCCACATATCAAGAAAGTGTACTAGAAAACGTATCGTTAGACTTCAAGAAAATATGTGCGACCAGCGAGTGTGGAGATCGCAATTTCAAAATCTCGTCACCATCGCATCTTGAAGCGCTGCCATTGAGCATGCTCAGTGATGATTATCCGGACCAAATAATGGGAACAAGATGGCCATGTTCTAACAAGGTTTGGTTGGAATGATAACGTTACATATAAATCAAATAACTCAATTAAACGCCATAGTTGCACTTACTAGACTCCTCAGAATCTGCATTATATTAATTTCTGGCGCATTAAAATTGGACCATTGTTTTTTGGCAGTACCGAGGCTGCTCCAGTTTACCTGAAATTTCTGCTAGAATCTACCATGTCATACATTTTCCAGCGACGCAGCATCTCAAATACACATATCTAATATAAATATGATTTCCGTAAATGAATTCTTTTTTACTATTAAGCTTTCTGACGAGTACAAGAAAGAGCTATAAGAGTTAGTGGACATGAGAAGTCTAACCCCCTGAACAAAAGATTT